TTGCAGTTCTTGCGGACAGCAACGGATTTAACGTACATTTAAATGGAAAAGGAGAGACGACAGCTATTGATAGGCTGTATGAACTGTAACTTTTTTATTTAGCAAGTCAACACAAAGTGTCAAAAATGATGAATAGAAAGGCATGGCGTCTCTGTAGATATGGTCGCTCTGGTGCAGAGATAGAGAGCAATCTGCTGACTGCCTCCTTCTGTCATTTCACATGCTGTACATCCAGAACCGAGTAGAGCAGGGTGGGTTTCAGCAGGACGGGGACCACGCTGAGATAAGCTTTCATCGTCTCCCCAGAGTCCTCTCCTTGAAAGCTCTTAGAAAAGTCCCTGTGCTGTTGTTTTACTTTACAACTAATCTTTTACTCTTTTCTTTGAAAGTATATCAAACAGCCCTTTTCTTAAGAACAGAGTGTGAGGTTAGGTGCACTCACATCCTGAGCTTGTGGCAGGAAGTCTTATTTCTTCCTGTGTGCACCTCATCACCTCTCTCTTTCTTGCTTTCACTTCTTTGCAAGTAACGGCTGATTCTACCAAGGTTTCGTTGTAACTGTGACATGTCGAGTTGACCTCCATCAGGGCGTCCTTTAACAACTCTTTTCATCAACAGCCCACACCTCTTTGAATAGAGCACAACATGAAGGGTTGGTTCAACTGAGACATTATTGTCAGCAGAAAAGGTATTACAGAACAGTTGTAGGTGAACCAAAGCAAAGCTTAACATTTGAAATGATTATGTTTGTTCAGGGCTTCAGGTTGTTGTCACGATGTTGTGAGGCTTGTTCCTCTCCCACGACAGCTGAGGGGAATGGTTTTAATGGGAAAGCTGTCGTATGGCACTGGAGCGTAAGCCTCTTACCAGCTGTTTGTGTTTGTGTGTGTGAGTGTGTATGCATGTCTGGCCTAGAAACATTTGCATTTTGCTTCCCTAAATCTCTGCATACACCACCCTGCTGACCTATTATGGGAAAGTGGGATGAACTCTTGTCTTTCACAAACAGTGCCTCTCTGTACTGTTCTTTTTCTGTAGCACTCATTTCAGACACTCAAGCTGTGTCTGAAATAACATTTTGATTTATGACGCTAACCATTGATTGATTGACATGTAATTTGGAAGAGACATTCTTTGTCCCTTGAGGATGATTCATAATCATCTGCAACCCTGACTTTTTATGAAGTGCCGGCAACACCTCTATAACTATGACTGAATACCCATTAACCTCCACTGTACTCTGAGATTATTGCCAAGAGCAGCAGTTTGGCATGCTGACAATAGCCTGATAGCATTCAGCTCAAAGCACAGCTTTAGCCCAGGGCACTGGTTCCCATTCAAGTGGGTCAGAGCCCCCAGGGGTTTACAAGGTAAATCGTAGGAGTTGCAAGATTAATGAACAAAATAGGAAAAAGGAACAAGGAAATATTTGACCATGGACTCAATTTACCAAAATAACCTGAACCATATATTTACTAGCAATTGTACTAGTTTTTACTTTAGTGTTTCATTGGACTTCAAACAACCTGATTTTGTAAAAATAATGGGTAGTCTTCCGGTCCCCTAAATCTATCAATAGGAAACAATCTGAGAAGAGCAAATGTGGAAAAGAAAACTTTGTAATACTTTAAAAGGGTCATAAGCTAAAAAAGTTAGAAACCACCGGCATAAGGACGCTGAAAAGTTAAAACTGCAGGAACATTGTCCCCATTAGATTTTTTTAGTATTGTAAAGCACAAAGTCAAAAGTCAAAACTACTCTTTCTCTAAGTGTTATTGAAACATAGATGGCCCGTAAGCTCAGTCAAGCAAGTAAGCTGAGCGAATGAGCCAATAAAAGTTAGGTTTTTGACACATTGATACTGAATGAACACAGTGACATTTCAAGGTCAGGAAAAGTACATTCATCATTATCTCTGAGCTAGCACAGGACAGCATCTTCCCAATACAGCCGAGTATTCAGGACATCATAGTCATTGTTTCTGGGCATTCAGTAAGAGACAAGCAGTTTGTCAATAAAACACAGGATTTCTTGTAGATGTGGACGTTCACACACAATTTGTATTATATGGTCGCTTCACTGCTTAGAGTAATTAGAGATGAGGCAAGTCTAGCTGTACTTTATAGATTAAAGTAATCAAAACGCCCTTTTTTAACCAGTATGGATCAAATAGCAAATCTTTCCTCAATTTTATTTCAGTACTTCACTTTGGGTTCCTTTTCCAGCTTACTATTCACCCTTGCTTGAAAACACAGTGCACTAGATAACCCGGTGTCATTACACTACACAATACACTGTAGTCATAGTGAGTTGCATCATTCTGCCTTTAGCCATCATATCTGCAGCAACACCCACACACGAATGCAGTGAAGCAAGTCCACACTTCTCCATTCCTGTAAAGGAAGTGGCTGCGGCTGTTGTTTTTTTACCACTTCGTGTTTTGGCCTCTTGTACTCTACATCAGATGGTGGTTTGGCCCCTGCCCCTGTTTCATTGCCAGGGTGCGGTTAGTGTAAAGTTAGGTAAGAATTGTATATTTTCAAACATTCGTAATCATTGTTCGTGTTTAGATCTGAACACGTCACATCTCGATGTCTATGCTCAAACACAACTCAGACGCTCTGGTGGAAACGTCCTTTAATAGAGTCTGAAGATACATGATGGAGATTTACTAGATGAAGATGAATTACTGGAATAGTAATAATACATCACCAGAGACTACATCATTCACCTCTTTGTCTCATTTACAGCATAGAGTGGAGGTGGCTAGAAAATGTTTTATTTCATTCAGATCAAAGCCTTAGAGACAGTTGGCCATCCTATCATTTTATGCTAATCTGAAACCGTTAAGCTAGGTTTGATGATGACGACTTGAGGTCTATTTAAGTGAATGAGCAGAATGTCCTCAGAAGCGATCTACGGTTTCATTAGCTCTCCCCAAAGACTTTACATCTTCCCATAAAAGAAAGCAGCATTGTTTCATGGAATAATAGAGTTTTTCTCCATTAATTCCCAAGAAAACGTAATATCTAAATAATTATTTAGTTTCACACCTGTTTTTGCTCTGACAGAAATGTAAATGAGAGTAAACATGCACGCAGTTGTACTCCTATTTAATTAAACTGCAGCCTAAATGAGCCCATCTAATGATCAAAGCATTATCCATAACTGAACATTCTCTACTCTGGGCCATTGAACAAATGATGTTGTAAAACACCAGACCTGAATGTGTCATTATACAGAACATCTAACATCTCATTAGCTTGGAACATTGTGAAAGGCAGCATGAAGTGAAAGAACTAAGGTGCCATTTTGACAATGAGTCATTTGGCAGTAGCATATTAATAAGTCAAGTGAGATGCAGCTAAGGAAAGTCTGAAGGTTCACAAATATAACCTACAAAGAAACTGTAAATCTAAGATACACAAATAAAGTTATAATAGAGCAGCATTGGTCACTACTGCAGCGTTACTGCATTGGTATGAAGAGGTTTTAATACAATCTGGACCCGGAGACATTTCTCAACTTGTGCTCACATAATGTATTGTTTGCTGAGGCCCTGTTCCTCCCTTGTCCGTAATAATAAGGTGTATGGATGAACGCACAGAGAGACACTCTTGAGATAAGCATGCGGATGAGCTACACACTGGAGTCACTAGACCTTGGCAGCCCTGTCAGATTTCTATTTTCTCTGTCATCAAACCTTGTCTCTTTTCTTTTTCCGGCGTCGCTACTTCACAAAACTCAGAGGAAAGAGAAACAGCTTATCTGTATTTGCAGCAGCACATTCCCTAAACTCAGAATGTTTTCACAATCTCTCTCTTCCCTTAGTTTTTCCTCCTCCTATATGTTCAGGGCTAGCTCACTCTCTTTTCTCTCCTGTTTTCTCTCAGTATATCCCCTCCTGCTACACTTCAGACCCTCTCATCTTTCATTTGTTTTCTTCAGCACCGTCGGGACGCCCTGCTGTTAGCTCTCGGTCAATACGTCAGCGGGAATCATCCCAGGTCGCCCCGGTTCTATTAACACTGCTTGGCGCACATGGATGTCTAAACACTTTAGAAACCTGCAGGGTAGCTGTGACACAAAGAAACGGTTGCAATTCCGTGTGTTTCGTTCTTTCCTTAAATGTCCCCATATTTGCTAATGTTACCTTTTTTTCCTCTATCTATTTCTATTCGTCTCTGATGACAGGGGAGGTGAATGGTCTGAGCGTCGGGGTGGAGGGCTGTTCGGAGGAGGTAGGCCTATTTATTTGGAGTTGAATTGTAGGTCCAGCACTTTGGTCTAGACTAAAGTGTTTCAACAACTATAGCCTTTTGGATTACATGCTACATTTAATGAAAGCCATCCCAGATGATGAATCCTACTGACTTTAGTGATCCAACTATTTTCTCTTGCTCCAAAATGAGGTTGTCAAGTTGAGTGAATATTCCTGTAACTGTTGGATGTCCCTGTCAAGATGAATTGTAATAACTTTTTTGACTTTGCCCAATACTATTACGATCAAATACGGGCAAAACTAAGGATATTAAAAGGTTAGCTTGCACGCAAAACTATAGGACTGTCACCATGGCAAACACAGTCAAATCATCAGTTTCACCACTAAATGTTTGTGCTCACATTTAAGTAAATATTATGCATTTGTGTGATGAAAAACAATCACAAGCTGGAAAGGAAGTTCTGTATCATCTGAGCTTAATAAAATAAATTAAAGGTTGTCATTCAATCTGCCTCACTAAACAAATCCCTTACCAAAAGTATAACTGACTTAATTTCTCCTCCCAGCACCACCACAGCAATACTGTCCCTCATCTTCTGTGGTGTATGAGCTAAGCTGCCTTGCAAGCTGTGCACGTCTGAGGTAGCACTGACGCAAATAAATGCTTGATCAACTCAATTTCCTCCTAAAGTCTCATTCTTCTCACCTGCCACCCGTTTCCCATCTCCTCTCTCTTTCATTCCGTGCTCTCTCCCAACGAGCATCTGAAGGTTCAGATTTATGAAGCAACCCGTTCGCTGGTGGCCACAATCCAGCCGAAGCAAGTGATTTGTTCAGAGATTACTGACAGAGGAGACAGAGATAGGAGTGTTAATAATGTTATTCACAAATCACCAAGTGTGTGTGTGCGTGCGTGTGTGCGTGTGCGTGCACGTGTGTGCGTGCATGCGAGAGAAAAATAGGTTTAATTTCATTAAGTAGTCTCTACTTTCCTTAACAAGGGTATTCAACCACAAGCATTTCTCAGCAGTACAGAGACAGTCCATCCTTATTAATGAGACCCTGGTACTAACATGAAATGGTTTCTGGGAAGTGTTTTATTTTTAAACACTATTTAAAAAATATGAATTATTCTTTTAACAATTACCTTTTCGACAAAGCCTTTCAGCCTATATGGAGAAGAAGCCTTTAAATACAATAATTGCCACAGGAATGGTGCAGTGTAGTCTCTTGGATGCTTGTTTTATCACTTTTGGAACTAACGAAGGACTCTTCAGCGAGGACACCTTCAGTCTCCTCCACCCACACCTCCAGCCATATGTGGCCCTGGTCGAGCAGCAGTGTTGACGGGGGCCGCTGGCAGCGTGAGATGCGGGCCCCTCCTGCTCTACTTAATTACCTGTGTGATGGAGTGGCTCCCCACCAAGCAGAGGCTGTCAGGGGCAGTGCGGACACACAGAGCTGACCACTCTCACCCGCCTCACCTTTTCCCTGCCTCTGCTCTCAGATCAGGTTATTAATAAAACAGCAACAGCCGGAGAGCATCACCTGATTTCCTCCCAATGTTTTTTGCCTCTCTTTGTCAAAATACTCAATAACAGCATTATCCCTTTTAATACAGTACAAAAAGGACTTTGTTGACTGTCCCAGGCTTCATTAGGACGCCTCCTTTTTGTCTATTGGACTACACAGAGAACACAGGCCTGCAGAGAATTAAGTGGAAAGTACTGAGGGTCCAAACTGTACCCGTTGAGACTTTGACAGAACACACTAACTGTTGCTGTAGCAACCGATTCCAAATCAGAAGAGAAAACTGGATCACTAATTTCTCAAAATGTCCTCTTCCACTGTGTCCCTTTCTCTATCTTCTCTCTCTGCTCAAGGTAATCTAAACATATTCTCAAACATGTGTAGTCTGTGGACCCTGAGCAGTTGATTTTCCAAAACGTTGTTCAGGGGTTGGCTTTCTTTCAACAATATGCGGGAACACTGAACTCAAGGCTCCCCAGTACAGCTGCACACATTACGAAACGCAAGGACACTTTTTTTCATGCCTATCAGATTTAGATCAGTGGAAGCAATTAACATTTGTTCAACAAACACATACCTCTGCCACCTGACTTGACATGTTTAAAAAAGGACAGGGTTTCTCCATAGGGAACACTAAGCAGCCTGTTTTAGTACAGTTTTGAATACAATTCTTGAGCATTTAAATAGTCCTCGAGTCTCATATGAACACTTTTAATCAGCTATGCTAATGCATCCATGAATGATGAGAAAACTGCTGTCTCCCAGTGTGTCTGAGGTGTTGTGGGGGTTTGTTCAGGTGATCAGGACTGCGCCTGTGGAGACACTTATCACCCACTGCAGAAACAGTCATGCATGCCCAGAATTCTCAATGACATTACACCGGTGCTGTAATGTCCGGTGCTGCTCTCAGATGAGAATGCCAAGTGAAGAGTGTGTGTGTGTGTGTGTGTGTGTGTGTGTGTGTGTGTGTGTGTGTGTGTGTGTGTGTGTGTGTGTGTGCGCGTGTGTGCGCGTGTGCTAGCATTGCCATCCTTGTGGGGACCTACATCTGTTTACACAGTCACGTGTGGGGACTGGCTTCCCTTATGGGGACAAAATGGAGGTCCCCATAAGGGGAATCATTAATTTTAGGGTGAAGACTTGGTTAGGTTGGCCAAGG